ACTTCATAATAAACCCCTCCAAGCAAAGAGCAGCCGGTGGAATTCTTGCAACATGGCAAGGACTCTGTAAAGGACTGCGCTCTGACAGGTAGTGCTCTGGCTGACCCAGCTCCAATGCGCACACGGCACATGCGGTTGGAGATGCAGTGATGCCATGGCTTTGTTTGGTTATTACCAAAATAGCCACTCACGGAAATGTGCTGTTGTGACTTAAAGCTACACAGCCATGAACTCTGCTGAGGCACATTCTCTAAGACCTGTCACTCCAGTTGGCTAACCAGAGCCTTGGTTTAAACTGCCTATAGGGGACTCACTTTGATGAGTGAATCGCAAGCACATTTGGCAACTCTACGCTAGTTCTATAGTTTTGTTTATTTATTTTTTAAAATATATTTTTATTGATTTCAGAGAAGGAGGGTGAGGGAGAGGGACAGAGAGCTAGAAAATGAATGATGAGAGAGAGTCATTGATCAGCTGCCTCCTGCACGCCCCACATTGGGGATCAAACCCACAACCCAGGCATGTGCCCTGACTGGGAATTGAACTGTGACCTCCTGGTTCACAGGTTGACACTCAGCCACTGAGCCATACTATACTTTTGTTTATTGTAAAGTTTTAAAAATCACAAATATGAAAAATATCAGAAAACGGTAATACTCAGTGGTTTGGTCCTGGCATTAATTTCCTATTCTGTTGGCAAGGAATCCTTGCGGTTCTAGTGAAGGTGGTTTAAGGCAGTGCTGTACGATGGTGTAATTTACATCCAGCGGAACTTACTGCACTCAAAATCAGGAAGCCCCATGTTGAGTTTCATAAGGGTTCCTTCTGTACCAGAAAGTGGAGCTGACAGATGCCATCTTTCCACCCAGGAGGATTTCCCACATACTCATGGACTCTGCGGTTTGGTTTGGTCATGGTTGGCGATGAGGCTCCCAGCCAGGCAGGTAAGATGCATTTGTGTTAAGATCTTCGGGCTTCCTAGTCTGTGACGACAAGGGCAGGGCAGGTAATTCCCCCTCAATCAGGTCCTGCAGGGCCACACAGCCATCCTAAGGGAAAAGTTGATTTAAGTTCTCTCATGAAGACCCAGGTATAGACATGCCGTGAAGTCTTTGCCTTCAGGAAAACTTGTTAAAGAAAGACAGTGGGTGATATAGGACAGGGCTACCAAACATTTATGCATAAGAAGCTCATGTCAACCATCTCCCTGAAATCTATCCTCAAAGAACAGCAAACAGCTCATTAAAATTGTACCTTTTGTTCTCAATGAACCACCCTTAACAGGCTCTTGCCCTCCAGCTCCCATGGGCTCACCAAGATGATTTAGTTACATGAAGGCAGGGCCTCCTCTCCTTCCTCCTCGGCCAGCAGTAACATTTGTTGACTGAGGACTGCCAGTAGAATTTAGGTTGTGATTTGCTGGGCAGGGGACTTGTTGAAGGTGATGTGTAACGTGTTGTTGTTCTTAACAATGACTGTATAGAAACAACATGTTTTTCACTATGCTCATTGGAATCAAGAAAGCTGGGTGGGGAAATCGCTTGGTGTTCTTGTGGATTGTGAGCGTCCTTTTATTTTCTGCAGTACATGCTGCAAAGAGGGACAGACCCAGCTGGATATTTGCTGATGCTGCCTGCTCCCAACGCCCCCGCGGGAGAGCCTCTTCCTTCAGGATGGGTTGATGTCCCTTTCTGGGCACCTGGGAGTTACTCCAGTGTTTCCCTGGGAGTTACTTCAAATGCCTTCTCTCCATCTCACCCACTGTCTCCTGAGAGTTTTGACCCAAAAAGAGGCAGATGCCTAGTGTAGACATCTGATGAGTGTGGACTGGCCTGAGTGAAAGCCATTTCCACAGCTGAATCATCAAAACAGACACAAATCAGCAGGCCGGCTATTCGGATGCTGATAAATACTGCAGGAATTCTAGGTTTAATGAGCACTAAATGCAGCTCACGAGTACCCAGGGGACTGAAAGGAAGTTCAGTCTGTGCTTTTCTGATGATTCCCGTGTCCTCGCCACACAAATGTTTTTGCACTTACGTCAACACTCAAAAAATCTAAAATCAGCATGAATTCTATGCAGAGTGTGCGGTAGGAAAGGGCAGCTCTAACTTATACTCCAAGTTATATGTGGGAATAAGCCTAAATCATATAATACTAATTCCTGGACTGACCTGTCTTTTATGATTTATTTTTTTATATATACTTTTTTATTGATTTGAGAGAGAGAGGAAGGAGAAACATTGATGAGAGAAATACCCATCAGCTGCCTTCTGCACGCCCCCTATTGGGGGTAAAGCACATAATCAGGGCATGTGCCCTGACCTGGAATTGAGCCAGCAACCTCTCCATGCCTGGGAGGACACTCAACCAACTACGCCCCACCAGCCAGGGCCATTTTTGCTATTTTTAAATCTTCACTTTCCCGTATGCCACAGATAAGGGCTAATTGGGTTGCCTCCCATGGAAATGACAAAGATAAGAGGTCAACACTTGCTTCCCAAAACAAAGGACTTGATTACATCTGGGTTGACCTTATGGTAGTATTTTCACTACCTGCTATTATTTAGTGTCATGTTGGAGACATTAGATTCTCTTAACTTTTTTGTTTGTTAATCCTCACCTGAGGATATTTTTTCCATTGATTTTTTAGAGAGCGTGGAAGGGAGGGGGAGAGAGAGTGAGAGAGAAACATCAATGTGAGAGGGACACACCAATGGTTGCCTCCCACGCCCTGACTGGGGATTGAGCCTGTAACTGAAGTATGGGTCCTTGGCCAGAATTGAACCCGCAACCCTTCAGTTCACTGGCTGACTCTCTAACCACTTAGCCAAACCGGCTAGGACAGTACTCTTAACTTTGATGACTTTTTACTCCAAGTTAATTAACAGCATCATGATAATAGTCTCCCTTAAATGTCTAACTTTGGAAGACTTGGCACAGTTGTTCTCAAACTGGCCATACACTGGAATCACCCCAGGTGTTTCAAGAAAAATATTGATGCCTGGGTCTCACCCATCACTCATAGATTATGCCTCAGTGGGCCTGTGGTGCATTCTTGGTGTTGGAATGCTTAACAACTTCCAGATGATTCTACTGTGTAGCCATACTTAGAGAGGTGCCGCCTGGTTTAGGAGAAATAATCTTAAAACTTAAACAGAGTGACTTTTTAATAAATATCAAAGTAACTCTTTAGTCAAAAAGTGGAAATATATGATCAATATGAAACTAAGACTCTCATTAGCAAAACCAAAATGCTATGTTTCCTCTAGGGAGTGGTGTGCCAACAAGTGTTTAAAACCATATCCTCAAGAAACAAAGCCTTAACCAGTTGTATTTTGCCTATTTCCCTGGTGTAAATTCTCCCAGCATGGCTGATTTCACGCTACCACCCAGCATGCCAAATTCCTGAAAACCTAACAATCAGCTCTTGTGGGACAATTTTAGCCAGCTGTGCTTCTAGGAGAACTACATCTGGTTTGTCAATCTCTACCTGATGACAGCAGTAAGTTACTTATCCTTTGGGGATGAAATGTACTTATTTAGATTGCAATAGATACTTATCAATTGCCATTTTAAAAGCTGTGTACATTAGCAGAGTTATTTAGCAATGTTTGCAAGCTTTCTATGGATCCATCTTAATAGGTTTCATGATTGTTTTTACTTTATGTAAATAATATTCTTAATAGATGTGGTCATTTGGTGTGCAAATAAATAGCTCTGAGATCTTGTACAATCTCTGCATTTTGAGATTGACTAAAATGATCTATTTGAACATTATGCACATCCTATACAATAAAAGGCTAATATGCAAATCAACCGAACAGTGGAACAACCAGTCGCTATGACATGCACTGACCACCAGGGGGCAGCTACTCGACGCAGGAGCTGCCCCCTGGTGGTCAGTGTGCTCCCACAGGGGGAGCGCTGCTCAGCCAGAAGCTGGGCTTATGGCTGGCAAGTGCAGCGGTGGTGGCAGGAACCTCTCCTGTCTCCCTGGCAGCACTAAGGACCCCTTGGGGGTCCTGGACTGCAAGAGGGTACAGGCCGGGCTGAGGGACACCCCTCCTCCAGTGCACGAATGTCATGCACCAGGCCACTAGTTACTAGATAAATGATAATAACACAAGATAATTTATCATGCTCCTTCTAGGCCAAGCACTGTTCTAAACTCTTTCCATATATCAACTTACTTATTAATCACAACTCTGAGGTGTGTCCTATTATTATCTCCGTCTTGACAGATGAAGGAACTCAGAGTCAGAGAGGTTAATTAACTTATCCAATGACACACAGCTAGTCAGTAGCAAACTGGAATTTGAACTGGGCCGTCAGGCTGCTCTTAACGGACATATTTATCAAAAAGACCTAGAGAGCCCTGGCTGGTGTGGCTCAAAGTGTTGGGTGGCATCTCAAGCACCAAAAAGGTTGCTGTTTAGATCTCAGTCAAGGCACATGCCCGGTTGCAGGCTTGGTCCCCAGTAGGGGGCATGTAGGAGGCAATCAATCACATTGATGTTTCTCTCTCCCTCTCCCTTCCTCTCTCACTAAAATCAATGTTAAAAATCTTTTAAAGAAAGACCTAGAGAATCAAAATTATTCCCTGAGGTTATTTTTGAATACTGCAGAAGTCTAGTCACCGCCCACCCCCACCTTTCCGGTTATTTGGAAATCTTTTTCAAATCCAACAACATTTGTTCACCTGCTGAAATAATTATTTTACCTTTCTCATTATCAGTGTAGTGCCATGTTTCCTGTTTGGAAAGCAGAAAGTAGCCTTGACTTTTGTATAAAAGTGCAATTGGATTTACTGAGGGATACATTTTATAGCAAGTCATATTACCAAAAACACCAGAAATAGCACTGGTTTTGAAACGCTCCTTTTTATGGGTTTACTTGGCTGGAGACAAAAAAATAAAAAAAATAAAGCATACCTTGGTTATGACACTTCCAGAGGCAGAGAAGGTCTTTTATTTTTTTTAATTTTGCTTGGAAATCATTTTAAACTTGCAGAAGTTTCAAGAATCAGACTGAGGCAAAAAAAAAAAAAATCGCTTGTGCTTAGATCCATGTATTGTTAGATTTTAGCCCATTTGCTCTATCAATTGCTCTCTTTCTGGAGGTGTGTATGTAATGGATGTACATGCACACAATGTTTTTTATGAAACTTTTTAGTAAATTGCATACATTATGGACCATGACCCCAACCTACCTCAATGTATTTTCCCAAAAATAGGGATATTGTCTTGTGTAGTCACAGTAAACTTCTAGTCTAAGTTGCCGTCTTTATTCCAACTTGCCAGTTCCTCTAATATTGCCCCTTGGAGTATTGTTTTATCTGCACAGGTGCAGCGCGAGGCACTGACTGCAGGGAGCTGCCAGGTACGTTTAGTTCACATCCAGTGGGACATTTCCCCAGAGCCTCTCTTTGTCTTCTGTGATTTTTAAAGAATTCAACCAACACCCCTTCCCCCTTTTTAACAGAACATTACTCATTTGGAGTTTGTCTGCTGTTTCTTCAGATTAGGCCCAGACATGGGTTCCTGGCCAGAATACTACGCAAGTGATGTCACCTCCTTCTCAGGGTGTCACATGGAAGCCACGTGTTTTGCACCCGTCCTTCGTTGGCAAGGTTCATGTGAGCTACCCGGTCAGGAGGTCACCCAGTTTTCCCGCTGCGCAGCTGCTGTTCTTTCCCGTGTCACTAATGAGCAATCCGTGTGGAGATACCTTAGGAGCAAACCAATATCCTGCTCCTAACCAGAATTTCCCTCTGGCCTCAACATCATTGATCATTCTTACTGAGTCATTATTTACTGTGGTGGTTGAAAAATGATGATTTTCCAATTCCCACTCTTCTTCCACATTTACGGGTGAGCCCATGGCACTCTATGGTAAGGAAGACAATTCCTTCTCCTTTCTCTCTCTCTTTCTCTCCCTCCCTCCAGTGTTACTCACAGATTCTTATTTTCCCCCAATGGTTTGTAATTTATGATTTTTCTTTATTATTTTGCTTCTCAAATTATCCCAGTTTGGGCCAACCAGTGGGAGTGCCTTCAAGCTGATTGGCATATTTGGGTGACATACCTCGTTATTTATTTGCTCGTTATTTATTTGAACACGTCCTTACTTTCTGTCATAACAAGATATTTTAGACTCAGGTGGTTCCTACTGCTCTCCCATTGGGATTGGCCTTTTTTCCAAAGCCTCCTTCGTTTTAGTGGGGCATGAGGTGTAGACACCAAGGTGTGGGTGCTGGGTGCACTCATTCCCACGGAGGTGTCTTTGCTTCTAAGCTCTTTGGCAGATATACTAGTAGTTGGGAAACACATGCATGTGTGTACGTGTCCAGTAAGTCCCTCCTCATTCTCGGCTTTGCTTTCTGTGGTTTCAGCTAGTTACCTGCAGTAAATCAAGTCCAAAAGTATTAAATGAAAAATTTCAGAAATAAACAAGTCATAACTTTTAAGTTCCGTGCAGTGCTGAGTAGCATGATGCAATCTTGCGCCATTCTGCCCGCCCAGCCTGGGAGGTGACTCCCCTGTCGGCGTCTCCACGCTGTAGACGCTCCGTGCCCGGTGGTCACTGAGCTGCCGTCTGGGTTGTCAGATCGCAGGGCTTGTGTTCAAATAACCTTTCTTTTACTGCATATTGGCCCCAAAACGCAAGAGTAGTGCTGCTGGCAATTCGGATATGCCTTAAAGTGCTTCCTCTAAGTGAAAAGGTGAAGACAATACAAGATATCTGAGAGAGACCACACTCACATAACGTTTATTAGAGTATACTGTCATAATTGTTCTATTTTCTTGTTAGCTCTTGGTGTTAATATCTTACTGTGCCTGAGTTACAAATTAAACTTGATCGTAGGTCTGTATGTATAGGGAAACAACATAGTATGTATAGGGTTTGGTACTATCTGTGGCTTCAGACACCCACTGGGGGTCTGGGAGCGTATCCCTTAAGGCTAAGGGGGAACTACTGTATACATACACATTAACACATATGTGCATACGCACATCAGGACATGCAGGTATGCATGTCACATTGTACACACACATACAAATACATGCCTTAGAAACCGTGAATTTCCATCTATCCCAGTGCATTTTCACATTGTTTGCTTCCCCCTCATTCCATAGCTGCATGTTCCTTCTTCCAGAGGGAGAATTCTGTCTCCTAACGTTAATACATCTTCTCATTTGCTCAATCATGTAAGACATCGGAAATAGTTTCATTATTATTGGAACACAGAGTTCCTTCATTCCTGCCTGTCAAAACCAACTGGACCCAGGAATTTCATGCCTAGTAATTCATCCAAAAGAGAGGAACTCGTGTGTCTACAAACAGCCTTGTATGAGAATGTTTATAGGAGCTTTGCTCATCATAGCCCCAAATTGAAATAGCCCAACTGTTTCAAGAGAATAAGAGATAAAGAATCTGTGATACATTCACACAATGAGATACTGCTCAGCAATAAAAAGAAACCCATTACTCTGCAGGAACAATATGGATGAATTTCAAAAACACGCTGAGTTTTAAAAGGCAAACAAAAGAATACATAACATATGAATCCATTTACATGACGTTTGAGAACAGGCAAAACGAATCTCTGGTGACAGAAACTAAGCCACTGTTTGCTTTTGTTGGAGGTGGGACAGGGCAGGACACGACCTGGGAAGGGGCATGGGAAAGCATTCTGGGGTTAAGGAAATGCACTATGTCTTGAACAGGATGTGAGTGACATGGGTGCGTGCAATGGGTTAAACTTTACCTTGAAGACATGTGCATTTCACTGTCTATAAGTTAACCTCAATTTGAAAAAATTGGCTGGAGTCGAGTAGAGACGGCTTGTCTTGGCTGGAGCTGCTCCTCTGGGTTGCCTCACTTCTGCTCCTCCCCCTCGGCACTCCCGCCCGGCAGGCATCTGTGTGAGCTACCCCTGACCAGAATGTTTACTTCCTTTTATTATCATTGCAGGTATGCAAAATGCAAGTTAGAATTTTACAATTAATTACTGACATTATCAACTATTTAGGTCAGGGCAATCTAGACACTTTAAGACAGCAAAGATATGCAAGCAATTCGAATATTGAACATATTCGAATAATGCTGGATTGTAAATTAATCCTGTCTGATCTATTAAGATAAAAGCAAGAACAAGCACACTGCAGTGTAGTCAGACTCTGCCATGGAAACAGCTGAGCAAATATCAGGTCAACGAGGCATCCATTTTCTCAGACCTTCTCATAGACTCTGGTGCAGACCACGCCTTTCATCTTACATTCCTTTAAAAAAGAGAGAGATGAACTGGGTACCTAAAGCCCAAGCGAGGGGACAACAAATCTGTAGTGATACAGAAATTAAAAACCATCCCACGAGATTAAACTCAGAAAAGTTAAAAATATCAGCATGCCAGTCTCCAGTAATTTAAAATCATGGCCACTAAAGCAGGAGAAATAGTTTTGAAGTTGATCTATGCTACAGCAGAAGAATTCTTTTAAAATGGCAACTTCCTCTATGCTGAACACCTGAAAGTAATACAAAATAGTATTGAATGGAAAAATAAATAGATAAATAAAATTATATGCATGCTTTTAAGTCTACTAAAACAGTGGTTTTCAAAATTACCTGCACATTTGCCTTGTCTGAGGAACACTTAAAAATACGGATGGCTCCTCCTCCCCAAGTGGTGTGATCTGTGCTGGGCCCCATATTGGTACTTACTCCCCATGTAAGTCTATTGTGCAGTCAGGGATCAAAAAACCTCTGTTCTAAAGGAAGAGACATTCAAAACAGCATGTGAATCTATTTACAATTAATGTATGTGCTAATTAGTGAGCACAGAACCCAAAACTTCAAAAAATCATCAGAGGTCACCTCATGTAGCCTTTGTCACCCTTCTCATCTGCCGACTAACGAGGTCTGCTGTGAGCTCAGCTGCAATTCTTGACTTGGTTTAGTCCAACTTACTATGGATTCTTGAAAACACTTAGATATCTACAAATATTCACTAATTGAGCCTTTTGGATTTGTTTTGCTTGTAGAACTTAGACTTGCTTTTCTCTTTGTGAGTCCCAACTAGTGAGATTTCTCCAGACCCTCTTTAACTTTACTATCATTTTTAGGTGTTGTTATATCTAAAGTAACAAGTAGGCTTTCTTAGTTCTAAATTCTCAAGCCTTAAATTGGAACTCTTGATAGTTTAAGCATCACCCAAACACTAACTCTGCCTCACTCTCAGCCCTTCTTAGCCATTGGGGTTCTAAAGAAAAAAAGTATATTTTTGAAAATATTATAACCAATTTCTTTATTTCAATGGCATCATTTCTGCATTTAGAAGTAAAGACCCTCTTACCACTACCATTTTCCCATCCACCAGCTTTCTCTTTATTGTGGTCTCTTTGCCATCCCATTTCTGCACTTGATTCAATGAGCCTCTGGCCAAGGTTACGACACTCTGCAAAGACAAGTTCACATAATTGGTTGATTAAAGAAGCATTAGTAAGCACATTCATTTCCAACAGAAGGAAGTAGTCTACCCTTTCAACACTAGCAGAGTTATCCTCTCTCAAGCTGGAGACTTTGAAGAGAAACACTGAAGCTTACCTTTGTTTTCCGGTTGTCAGCTGTGGTTTCTTCAAATTCCTGGCCAAGCTTGAAAGAGATCTCTGTATTTTTAAAGGTGCTTTCAGTCCTTATGGTTATAGTATCCCCTTTCTTACTGATGATCACTTTGGGCTTGGCCAAATTTCCCAGTTTTCTGGTGGCTAACCCCACACCTGAAAAGCAAGGTAGAATTAGAATAATGCGGGCCCAGAGAGAGCACCTAGAGTCTGTGGGGCCCACATTCCGGGCTCAGGTGGGCAGACGGCAGGTGGTGACAACCATAATTAAGAGCCTCCTCCCATGTTTCATCTCCTAATGGAAATGCATGTCATGGACTTGGATATTTTGGGTTTTGTTACAAAGCTGACGTCTGCAAATTTGAAAGGTAAAAGTGCTCAGCCCAGAGTCATCCAACTGCACCGCCATTGAAAATCACTCCCACCTCCACCGCACCTCCGTTGGACATCACCCACTGTAGTTTTGTCTGGACCAGTACAGACACTTTAGCTTGCACACAGATTGTAGAGGTTTTTTTAAATGATGCTATGACAGATGCACACTGTCCCATGACTTTTCTCCCTCAGTAACATACTATGGCTATAGATAAGAGTTCCCCCACATCCTTGATTGAATTTCATTTCTGAAATTTTGTTGTGGCCCCTAAATCTAGTGGGTAGAAGAAACAATCCATTTCCCTTCAAGACCTACCTGCACCATTCCAAATGATCATTAGTAAATAAAATCATTAATTTTTTCTGCATTTGAAAAACAAAATTAGACTCAAGTATTATTAGTATTCAAGATTATACAAATACATGGAAAAGGGAAATGTCAAATGAGAGTAATATATTAACATATATAAAGGGAAAATTAGTATATATATATTAGAGTTCCAGTGCACGGTGAGGCGGTGGGGGGAGCTCAGCCCAGCCTGCACCCTCTCCAATCCGGGACCCCTTGGGGGATGTCTGACTGCTGGCAGTCAAACATCCCTCTCACAATCTGGGACCACTGGCTCCTAATTGCTCACCTGCCTGCCTGCCTGATTGCCCCTAACTGCTCCCCCTGTTGGCCTGGTCACCCCCACCTTCCACACCCTCCCTCCCCCCGCCAGCCTGGTCACCCCAAACTGCCTCCCCTGCCCGCCTGGTTGCCTCTTACTGCCCCCCTGCTGGCCTGGTTGCCCCCAACTACTCCCCCGCCAGCCTGGTTGCCCCTCACTGCCCCCCTCTGTCAGCCTGCTCACCCCTCACTGCCACCCACTGTTGGCCTGGTCACCCCCAACTGGCCCCCTGCTGGCCTGGTCGCCCCACACAGCCTGTTGGTTGTCCGTTCGGTTGTTTCAGTTGTGACGGTTGCTTATGCTTAGATAGATAGATAGATAGATAGATAGATAGATAGATAGTCCCACAAAAATGTATACACACTTTGAATATTTATAAAGGCAGTATTTATTAAAATACATTTCATTTTCAAAATTGAGCTATCAGCTGTTACAGTGTATATACATTTTTGGGGGCACTTCTTGTATTATTTATTAAAATTATTATATTATTTATTTGTACTACACTGTAAACCTACTTTTGCCCATCCCTGTGTCCACCTAATAAGAAGTGACGAGTTAGACCTAATAAAGAATGGTGAACTGTACTCTTTTTTTCTAATTCTGATTCATCTTATATTATCTTATATGCTTTAGAGCAATGTTTTTCTAGCTAAATTTCTGCAGGAAAGCCTGAGGATCTACATTTTACCACCCCCCAGACATTCCTGTGTGCTCTAAAAGTGGAAAATGACAGAACCAGGAGTCCTTCATTGAGACTTGCTCATATTTTGCTTCTTCTTCAGCTGTAAAGTGAAGTCCATGCATCTAACTAATCTGACTGTATGGATTGATCCCCATAAGGTCTCATAGTTTTCTAGGCAACATGACAGGATTTGGCTCATTTTATCTATAAAGAACCTTTCCCATTAGCTTTTTGAACAAGGAAATAAAGCCACAGACACTTTGGCAAGCAGGGCAGCCTGGCCCTTGGCATCCCTGTCTATTGGATTGATACAGCTCTGGGAATGTCCCAAGACTCTGCCCATCGATTAGGCTCAGATCTGTGGAACAGTCTCTAGAAATAGTGTCAAATAAAGTTGATGTAACTAATGACTGGATTTTCCACCTCCATCCACTGCTCCAACTCCAGGAAAATCTAACGTTAGTGTAATTGAGTGTGAATTCACTGCCACAACCCAATTCTTTTTATCTCAGTAACTTCCCTGGGCTATAAACATCCTGGTTTCATGCATCTTCTTTTTACAAACTCTCTATCTACATGATTATGTCATAATGGACAACTAGAGCAGTGATGGAGAACCTATAACACGCGTGTCAGAGGTGACATGCAAACTCATTTTTTTGGTTGATTTTTCTTTGTTAAATGGCATTTAAATATATAAAATAAATATCAAAAATATAAGTCTTTGTTTTACTATGGTTGCAAATATCAAAAAATTTCTATATGTGACACGGCACCAGAGTTACATTAGGGTTTTTCAAAATGCTCACACGCCGAGCTCAAAAGGTTCGCCATCACTGCCCTAGAGGTAGAGAGAGAAAGCTTATAGTTTAGCTAAACATCAACATTTTAACTTCAGTGCCTTCAGCTCCTTGTATTATGAGCACTTTAGTTGTTACAAAGCCAGCATTCAGGAAAGCCAAGGAATGGGTTGACTAAACGTCAAAGACTTTTTCCTGTGGTCCTGAACCCAAAGCCCTATTGATACGAAACTGCCTTTGAAAATGGTGGGAGTTTCGTGCATCTAAGCAGCTCTCATGTAAGTGAAAATCTATGAAAATCGCCACAAAGGAAATGAGAACAAATTATCTGGCACAAGAGAGGATCAAGTCTAGCAGAGGACTGCCCTTCAGCCTGTGCAAACTTCCCCAGCCTCCTGGAAAAGGAGGCAGAAGGCAACAGTCACACAGCTTTCCCCAAAGAGCCTTCCTTACCCAGCGCTCTCATGTAGTCATCGAAGTGCTCGCTGGAGACCAGCCTCCAGGTGCCCACAAAGCTGCTGCTCATTGTGCCGGAGGAGAGTGCAGCCCGGGTCCCGGTGAGACTCAGGGGACTCCACTGAGAGGCTGGAGCCTCGGAAGATGCTTTTCAAAGACGTCCAGAGCACGTGACGCCCACAGAGACCCAATGGGGAAAGGCAGAGTCAGGCCCAGGCAATGAATGGCTCATAAATCATCCACTGGGACAAAAGAAAACTCCACATAATGTTTCCTTTCATTTCCAAAAAATGTTATAAAGATTCAACGAGAGTACTATTTGAACTTTCAAAAAATTTTTTGGTTGATCTTACATTTTTAAGAAGTGCTTGGGTCCTCAATACTTTGGAAAAGACTCTATACCGAACTAAATGATCTGAGCATGAATGAATGAAGGCGTGTGAGTGTGTGTGTGTGAGTGTGTGTGTGTGTGTGTGTGAGTGTGTGTGTGAGTGTGTGTGTGAGTGTGTGTGTGTGAGTGTGTGTGTGAGTGTGTGTGTGTGAGTGTGTGTGTGTGAGTGTGTGTGCGTGTGTATGTGTGTGTGTGTGCGTGTGTATGTGTGTGTGCGTGTGTGTGTGTGTGTGAGTGTGTGTGTGAGTGTGTGTGTGTGAGTGTGTGTGTGTGAGTGTGTGTGTGAGTGTGTGTGTGTGAGTGTGTGTGTGTGCGTGTGTATGTGTGTGTGTGAGTGTGTATGTGTGTGTGTGAGTGTGTGTGTGTGTGTGAGTGTGTGTGTGTGAGTGTGTGTGTGTGTGTGTGTGTGTGTGTGTGTGTGTGTGTTCAGGCATCTTGGTCGCTCTCTATCCTGAGTCTGCACAATTAAGAATTCTTACTGAAAGAGAAGACTGAGGGAGAACTGTCCCTGAGGACTGTGATGACCGCCTCCACTATGCTGTGGGAGAGAAAAGCCAGAAGCAGAGTGAGGACGTGGTCATAGGTGAGGGAGGTTCGGCATAGCTCACATACTCAGGGGGGCAGAGTAGGCGGCAAACACAGCCAGCGTGTTAGAGCAGGGACAGAGCCTGGATTCATGGGGGACAAGAATAGGGCCACCACACGCTCCTTGGCCCCAGCGAAGACCGTCATCTAAGAAAAACCTTGAGTCTGAATTAGGCAGGCTCTTAGTTAATAAAGAAACTTTGAATTTAAGTCCTTTAAAATAAATCCACAGTTATATAAAGAGAACGGGTTTTCTACAAGAGGAACCCGAATACATACATCTTCAGCAATTCCAGGAGCGAAGTACTGGTATTTCAACCATTTTTCCAAAGAGCAAAGCAGAGATCATGGCAGGTAGGTAACTTGTTCCCAACATGTGACAAAGGAGAAGTAGGATTTGAACTGGGCGTTGCTCCCTGGTGCCTGGTCTCTAGACCAATATTTTGCACAGAGGCCCTGGCTGACGGCAAGCCATCTTGACGTCACCAGGACTAGACAGGGACACTCATCCTCAAGTCAAGAGAAGTGAAGGTCATGAGCTGAATGAAGTCCCTAGGCTCCCACGGTCATCAGAGACCCCGTCTTTGATCAGGGGGTGCAAATGTCAAACCACCTCGAATAGGAGTATTGCTCTTGGGAATAATGCCTAGTTGCTGCCACGCCTTTTCCCAGCAGCTTTTCACATTGGCTTTCATCCTGGCTGTGAGGCAGCTGATACTATATATGTATATCAGGTTGGCACTCGTCACAGCCATGAAGCATCCTGTGGTCCACTTGCTAATCACAGTAGAATCGCTGGCCTCCAGGGCTCAGGTCTCCAGTGCCACAGCTGTGCCCTAACCATTGCAAGTAGGTGGCTTGTATAACCTAGGTTGCAGGTTTGATCTGTGGTTAGGGCACGTGTGGGAAGCAACTGGCTGATATTTCTCTGGTACATCAGTGTTTCTCTTTCTCTCTCAAAAAATAATCAATAATCAATAAAAAAAAACATATCCTTGGGTGAGGATTTCAAAAAGAAGAAAAACATGAGGGCTTTCCTGTGCTGGTCCATTGCACACGGTCCTTAGCCCTCCGCACAGCGCTGTGACGATCTCTCCATTTTGCAAAGGAGAAAAGTTTGGTGGTTAAGCAGCTCATTTAGTGCTCTCACAGCTGTCCGTGGCAGGAGGACTCACGTCCATTCCCCCACTTCACCTGGTGGGTCTCTGGGTGACAATGGATTCTGTGTGTCTCGGGCTGCTGGGTAGGTGGTCCCTCCCCTCCTCACCCCTCCCAAATCACACAGCATCTAGATACCAAAGGTCAAAGTGGACAGACGATATTTCCCCCTAAATGTTCAAAAAGAAACCTTTAGAACCTATAATTTGGGGATTAGGTTATGCCCTGACACTTTATCCAATTTTCCATCAATTTTTGGTTATTAATTTTGGAATAGTCAGTCAGCTGTCTTTCTATGACCAGTGAAGAAAAGTATGTCCATTTGTGTTTATTGAATGTTTGTGTAAAAGTGTGAAAATTAAATACACTAAGAATGTTCAAAAATTATTTCTTTAGTGGGTTACTGAATAGTATTGGATACCAAGAAGAAGAAGAAGGAGAAGAAGAAGGAGAAGGAGGAGAAGGAGGAAGAGGAGGAGGAGGAGGAGAAATCCGGTGAATTATCCTATCTAATAATAGACAAACTGGGTAATTGACTGTACCTTTGCTACACCTCCCATTGGCTAATCAGCATGATATGCAAATTAACCACCAACAAAGATGTAGGCTCCCAGCAGCTATCGGCTATCAGAGCCTGCAATCAGAGCTGAGAGGTCCCCTGCCCAGGCCTGACGCCTCGGTCAGAAGCGTTAGGCCTGGGCATGGGTGGAGCCGTGATGGTGGGGAGCAGGGGGGAAGCCAGTGATGGTGGGGAGCAGGAGTGGAGCCAGCGATCACAGGGAGCTGGAGGTCCCCTGCCCAGAGCTAATGACTTGGCCAGAGGTGTTAGACCTGGGCAGGGGCCAAACCGGCAATTGGTGTGAACTACAGAGGAAACACCTTTTCTGACCACTCATTGGCTTAGCTCCCTATATGCCACTGGTAATAAGAATCCAAATAGGTGACCTAGGGTTTTTTACCACACTCCTGGAGAAAAAAAGGAAGGTCCACTGCTGGAGGGTTAAGAAATGTCATATCCTGTCCTAGCTGGTTTTGCTCAGTGGATAATGCCTCGGCCTGCCCACTGCTGGGTCTGGGGTCAATTCTGACCAAGGGCATGTGCCTAGGTTGCAGGCTCCTCCCTGGCCTGGGCCCAGTTCAGGGCTCATGCAGGAGGCAACCAATCAAAGTGTTCCTCTCACTTTGATGTTTCTCTCTGTCTTTCCCTTTCTCTTCCACATTCTCTAAAAATCAATGGAAACATATCCTCAGGTGAAGATAAAAAAAGAAAGAAAGAAAGAAATGTCATATCCTATGAAAGACACATCTTGAAAATGCCTAAAGAAAGTTGTCATTTTTTCATGGTGAAGGGACTGGAGTCCGTGTTGATGAAAACACCTTGGTGGCTGCGGTGACTGGCAGTGGCTGCAGGAGCAGGGTGATGGGGCTGGCGCCTTCCCCTGATCAGCCCGGTCGCCTCCCACAAAGGGAGGCCAGACTGTGGCTTAGGCCCGCTCCCCTAGGGGAGCAGGGAGCAGGGAGTAGGCCATCCCCTGATGGCTCCCAGTATGTGATAGGGGCAAGCTGGGCTGAGGGACCCCCCTCCAGTGCACAAATTTTTGTGCACCAGGCCTCTAGTTCTCTAATAATAGTATTAATCATGGTTTTATTATGATTGGTTTTGGTATCATTCATGTTTTCCTACAAGCATCAGTCTGTATTTAAAATAGAATAGTTTACTATTAAATTATTCAGAACCAAATTTTTTTTAACTTCTCTATTGTTTAACAAAAATTTTTGAAAACGAAATGTATTTTCCTGTGTGGCTTATAAAACCTACACCCACTTCCTTTGGAAAATGAATAAATAATGGCTTTTCATTGCTCAACTCACTATAATGAATAGTTTTGTTATTTCCAATACAACTTGATACAAATGACATTTTATCATTTCCTTGTACAGAGATAATGATAAATCTAATGCTATTGATTACTGTGGCATTATCATTTACTCACAGAGAGATAATGACCTTGAAGGCAAGGCAGATATGCCAAGAGGCTCATCTTAGAGAGGAAGAGAGAGGGAGAGAGAGATAGAAACATCGATGATGAGAGGGAATCATTGATCGGCTGCCTCCTGCACACCCCCTACTGGGGTCCGAGCCCACAACCCAGGCATGTGCCCTTGGCTGGAATTGAACCCAGGACCTTCAGTCCGCAGGCCAATGCTCTGTCCACTGAGCCACACCAGCCAGGGCAAGAGCCTGATCTTATAAAAAGTCCTTAAGAAGACTAAGGCGTCTCAGTAGAAACTCATTTCTTATAGACATTTGACAGAATAAAAATAAAGGCCGGAGGGCTTCGTGATGCCTCTGCTACTGGCAACATCAGAAGGCAGGCGGAACCCCACCCCTCCCCCCGGGTCTAGCCCAGTGCCTGAGTGCAGAAATAAGTCCCAATTCAGGACTGTATACTTCTTTTCTTAGTGATGCCTCTGTGACGCCGAAGATTTAAATGAGTCAGTGGCTAGTGTTTTTGGAGTAAAATATTCTCCCTGTGGTTGCAAACCACACCTCCACCCGCTCTGAGGCGGTGCCAAGGCACCTGTGCTCCAACTACCAGGCGTTGGTCCCTGGTCCTGTCGTGCCCAGGACACTACCTGGAGGGGTGAAAGCCCCTGTGAGTCCTGGGGAGCGAGATGGTCACATCTGTACACACCAGAGTCCTTTAGGGAAGGCAGGGACAAGTCCTGTGGGACGGCTGTCCCTGCTCACATCGGCAGGGGTGAGGCCTCCACCAAGCGGCCACTGCAGGTGCATGGCTGTGTGCTCAGAGGCCGTCAGGGTTCATCTGACAGCCCTCCCTCCTCTCCTGTCAGGGGCTCAGCTCTGGCCCGGCCCCGCTCCGTCCTGCTGTGCGTGGCCCTTCAACCCCTCCTCACACAGCGACCACCCTGGTTTGCCGGGACAGCTCCAGGCCGTGCCCGTTGCCCAGGTGTGATCACGGAGCGCGCTCCTGGCCAGCGCCCCTTCTCACCCAGCTCAGGTGACAAATGACACGGACTTTTCATTTCAGCACACATTGGACACGACTCCAAACATTTTTAACCAACTGTTATCTATTTTTAAATTTAAGGTGCACACAATATTTACACAATTTTTCTCTGCTACAAATAGCCTCAGTTTTCCAGGCTTTACCCATTAATTTTATCTCCAACAATTATTTTACTTATTTAATATATTTTTATTGATTTCAGAGAGGAAAGGAGAGAGAGAGAAACATCAATGATGAGAGAGAATCATTGATTGGCTGCCTCCTGCATGCCCCCCACTGGGGATCGAGCCCACAACCGGGCACGTGCCCTTCACTGGAAATGAACCCGCGAACCCTCTGACCACAGACCGACGCTCTATCCACTGAGCCAAACCAGCTAGGGCTCAACAATTATTTTCTTACTGATCATTTAGAAATTCAGGGCTGGCTTGTAGTGACATGTGGTTCTGTGAATACCCATTGTAAACTGTGGCAGCAGATGCACCAGCCTGGTTATTTTAAATGGGTTTACGGGTAAGTAAGACAATAATTGTTTTTAAATGTTCTTCTATAACAGCAATTTTCAACCGATGTGCCACAGGAATTTTTAAAACAGGCAATACCTGACTATTTAGTCAGGGGCACTGACCTCTTTTCCCTTAGCTTGTCAAATTAAAAAATGACAACAGCCAATACAACAATAGCCTTTCGGTGTGAATAAATCAAAATTATACCTATTTTTTGTCAGATCAGCAAAAAATATAATCAGTGTGCTGTAGAATTTTAGCAATTAGTTTATGTTTGCCGCGAGATGAAAAAAGGCTGAATTCAAACACAGTGCCTAATGTCCAGGTTCTACTTTGTTATCTACCTATTTGCTTGTCCATCCATCCATCCATCCATCCATCCACCCATCCATCCCTCCCTCCATTCATCCATCCCTCCATCCATCCCTCCATCCCTCCATCCATCCCTCCATCCATCCTAACTACTTTAAGGAGGTCCGACCTTCTAAGGCAAAAATAAAAAGCCAGCGATGTTAGTTCTCAGCATCTGTGCTGCCCAAGGCAGGTTCCAATGATGATAATGATCCCCCCTTTGAAGCCATGTGAATCTCCACAAAGCACCACTTGACAGATACTTTAACAGTCACGCAGGCCCTGGGGGGCAGGTGGCAGAGGACAAAGAGGGCGCTGGTGCTCCTACAATCGCACCACAGGCCAGGAGCTTCCTGCCCCACTGGTTTATCACAATGTCCCAAACTCAGTATGACTCAGCTCTGAAACTGCACCTAATCTGATGCTTTATTGAGCGTTTCTACTAAGCAATTTTTAAAATGACTGGCCCTGAGGCAGATCTTCACCCCCGTGTTTTCTTGGTGAGTGGGTTTTCACAGATGCGGCGGCTTTCTTCATTCCTTTCTGAAGACTCGCTTGCTGACAACATTATTCATGGTGTGTTTCTGAAAGCAAAAAGGAGTCTGTTAAGTTGGTAGCTGACCGGTTAAGCCCCTGTGGCCCTACTCCCCAGTCCCAAGAGTCGGGTGCAGATGGAGAAGCTGAGCCCCTCGGGAGGCCTGCTTCAAGTAGGAGCATCTAGAGCAGTGGTTCTCAACCTTCCTAATGCTGCGACTCTTGAATACAGTTCCTCATGTTGTGGTGACCGCCAATTTCATTGTTACAAATTGAACATAATTAAAGCATAGTGATTAATCACAAAAACAATATGTAATTATATGTGTTTCCCGATGGTCTTAGGTGACCCCTGTGAAAGGGTCGTTCGACCCCCAAAGGGCCCACAGGTTGAGAACCGCTGATCTAAAGAGTCCCATTCGGAGGAAACTCACCGCCACCATTTTCCCATCTACGATTTGTCTTTTGACTGTTGTCTCCTTGCCAAGCCATTTTTGGACATGGACCAATGAGTCGCCGTCCAACCGTATGATGCTCTATGAATGCATAAAGGAGTCAGTTAGAAACAGCAATTCCCTACTCTCTAACCGACACAAGATGACACTTTAATTTCTATTTTGAAATTTTTCCTCCCAAATCCTCACCTCAGTTCTGTTATAATTTAATACTGTCAACTAGAGAAGTCTCCAGGGATTATTCAGTTAGCGCTCTCCTCCACCAGGCAGGCGGTACCCAAACGGTCCGTGGAGAATTGTTTTCCTCTATGTGCTTTTAAAATTTTTATTTTTTTATTTATATTTTTTTGTTAATTCTCACCTAAGGATATGTCTAAGAGAGTAGAAGGGAGAGGAGGGAGGAAGGCAGAAAGAGAGAGAGAGAACCATCCATGTGAGAGAGACACATGGATTGGTTGCCTCTCACACGTGCCCAGACCAAAGCCTGGGATGGAACTGCAACCCAGGTACGTGCCCTTGACTGGAAAGCGAACCTGAGATCCTTCGTTGCTCATGCTGACGCTCTACCCATTAGGCACACTGGCCAGGGCTATATGCTTTTTTTTTTTTTTTTTGGTCTAAAGTTTTCCATATGTCTCCTTTTTCCCTGATTGATCCCCCCCCCCCCCCCGCCCCAGCCATTCCCACCCCGGGCAAGCCCCCACAGCCCCAGTGTCTGTGTCCATTGGTTATGCTATTATGCATGCATACAAGTCCTTTGGTTGCTCTCTAACCCCCCACCGACAGCAAAGAGAGATCAGAAAAAAAGTGAAAGCAGGTTAGTTTTGGCCCTGTCAACCATCAGAATCATTTGCAAAAGATTGAATTTGGCCCTAGGTGGTTTGGATCAGTGGATAGAGCATCAGTCTGTGGGCTGAAAGGTCCCAGGTTCGATTCTGGTCAAGGGCACATGCCCAGGTTGCGGGCTCCATCCCCAGTTGGGGACGTGCAGGAGGCAGCCAATCAATGATTCTCTCTCATCATTGATGTTTCTATCTCTCTCTCCTTCTCCCTTCCTCTCTGATTAAAAATATAACTTAAAAAAAAATATTGACTTTGGAGATGTGCAACATTAATGGGTACCACAAGGTCATCAATCAGATTAGATATGAATGAACCTCACCCAACCACCTTCTAGGTTTTTCCTGATTGGAAAGACCAGGATGATTTGGTTCTTACCTTCACTTTCCGGCCGTCCGCTGTGGTTTCGTCAAACTCTTCCCCCAGCTTGAAGGAGATCTCGAAGTTCTTGAAAGAGGTCTCTGTCCTGAGGCTCACCTTGTCCCCGTGGGCGCTGATGCAGATCCTGGGCTTCTCCAGGGCGGCCAGGTGCCGGATGGTGCCGGGCACGCCTGCGGGGCAGACACAGCAGCGGCCCTTCTTAAGCCGGTTAGGAGGCAGTGCCAACAGTCATCTTGGCAGCAACGTACTAGTAAAATGAGCGCGGGTGGGCTCCCGCCGAAGTTGCGGGAGCTGGGCCGTCATTTCTCCCATTTCTCCCATCCTCTCTAGGCCCGCCCTGCGGGCTGGATGGAGCCAGACCCGCCCGCCTGGAGGCCTGTCTGCGAACTCCCCGGGTCGTTTTGCAGAGCCAGCTTCACTTTCCGAGCCTGTGCTTTGTCTAAAACGAGTATTTGAGGGGGCCTCCGAGGGGATCAGGTGCGGGGGTGGGGTGTTGAGACCCTCATTTCAGAGAGGAGGACACGGTGTCCCCGAGAGGTCGGGGGCTCATGCTAGGTGACGTGTCTGGTGAGTAGCAGGGCGAAACTTAAACACAGGTTTTCTAATTGTTCAAGGACTTGAGAGACGCAGACTCAGCCGAAGCCGCTGCCGCAGCCCCCGGTGCCCCAGCAGGAGGAGGCCAGGGACAAAGGCGGCCTGCGGGACCACCCAGCTTCCTGGGCCCACCCCCATGGCCAATGGAGAGCCTGGTGACCCCAGGTCAGCCCCAAACTGGGACCCACCCCGTGTCCACCATCAGTAGAATGGACAGCGAGGCTGTGTGCGTGCAACGGGAGGCGACACTGCACTGAAAACGAGCGAACTCCTGCTCCCGGCCTCTGCACGGATCTCACACGTGATGCTGAGCGAAAGGAGCCGACACAAAAGGACGCACTGTTTCCGAGGGGTGCCGGGGCCCAGGGGACTGAGGGTTCCGCTCCGGCCGGTCGCCCCTCCTCCCGGCAGAGGCCCCGTCTGGGGAGGCTGAGGCCCAGGTCTGGCCCACATGGGCGTGGTTGGTGGGGGGTCAGTGCTGACCCTCCCTTTCCCGGGCCAGACCTAGGGAGACCCCCGGGGGGGCTTTCGCAGAGAACAGACACATCCTCGAGGCTCAAAAGCTGGCCGCTTGTCTTCTTGATGAACCCGGGTCATGAAGACAAATCCAACCGCCCTGTCTGCCGACACTTTGCCCAAAAAGGCCCCTGTCGGTGTGAGGGCCTCTGTGCCTTCTGCCAGCCAGGCGGCAGCGTTCCTCCTCTGTGACACTGCGCCTTCCCGCCACCTGGAGGCAGCGCTGGGGACCTAGCGGCCATGCATTTCCCGGCGGCCCTGGGACCGCTGCTGTGAGGCCGTTCCACCCACCGCCCGCAGTCCGCGGCACCCACCCCGCCACCACCTCCCCATTTGGGGTCCAGAGTTGTGTCTCATCACCGGGTGAGGTGGGCACTCCTTCTGCTGGTCCAGCCTCCAGAGCCTCGCCTTCAGGCCCCATCTCTGCTCCCTCGGCTGCCTCCTGGGTCCTCTCCCCTCGCCACTGACTGCCGAGCAGGAGGCGGCCTGGGTGCGGTCACTGGGTGCTGTCTCAGGCGTCTGTCCAGCAGCCCCGGTGCTGCCCTCAATCCTGAGCCTGAAGCAGTTTCCCCCACCCCTCTGGCTGCTTGTCTCAAGTCCCTCCATGTGTGAGTCCCCCCCCACCCCCCCCCCCGCCCCACCCCGCCCGTGTTGGCAGCTGCCCTGAGGAACTCCCAGGTTGTCTGGCCTGGGGTCAAGTTTGGATGACGGGGCAGCGTCCCTTCCTGACTCCCTGCTCTTGGATCCCGCCGTTTCGCCGTCAGTAGCACGGCCCCCACCGCTGCAGCCTGTGATCGCTGCCCTGGGGGACGTGCATCGGGCCGGGGCATGTCTGCGGCTCCCCCACTACAGTGCTGCTGCCAAAACCAGGGAGGCTCTTGGTGCCTCTCGGCTCTCCCCACCCCAACAAGGGAGCACTGGCAACTTCCTGCGAGCCTGCCTCCCTGGCCCCCCATTCTCTGGTGTCGCTCTTTCTGGGTTTGACCCAGGCCCATGAGGTGTGCGCTAAGCCCTCTGGTGGGCCCACCCTCTTCCTCCACAGCCGTGTTCCTTACACCAGTGCCTGAGGCCACGGGTCTTCCGTGGAATTCTGCGATCTCCACCCGGACAGTCCTGCACCCTCTCCCCACCTCCGTCCCTGTGTCGCTGCCGCTGGTTGTTTTCTGTGAAAAGGGCAGTGAGCAGGCTCAGTCTCGAACTGGCCCTGAGGATATGGGTCAGGAATTGTGTGGGCAAGAGGAGGGTGAGAGCTGTTGGAGAACTGAAAATGAATTTTAACATTTCTTATATTAGTAATAAATGCATTAGTAATAAATGCAGGTCCCGTCTGGGGAGGCTGAGGCCCAGGTCTGGCCCACATGGTCATGGTTCGTGGGGGGGGCCCGATGCACAAAATTCATGCAAGGGGCTCGGCCCCCGCCATGGCTGCGGCCCCGGGCCGCTGCAGCTTCATCCGGAAGGTCGTCTGGAAGGACGTCCGGTCTAATTAGCATAATGCGATTTTATTATTATAGATACAAATTTCAAAGCACCTACACTGTGCTAAAAGAACAGGACCTAAAGTCCAAGATCCTGTCTCAGAGCAGGTTCAGTCCTGTCTGGCCAAGGGCAGAGGAGGTGGCAACCCAGACCAATTGGCTGAGAAGCTGGCCCTGCTGTTCAGGTTGGGACTGTCCATCCTCATACATGACCCCTGCAGGAGGCGGCAAAGAGCTGACGCCACACCCAGTGCTGATATCAAACTCATTTCACATTCAGACTGTGGGAGGACAAGACCGGTCGGACTGCCGGGAGCAGTGCCGGCCGTGGTCAGAGGAGAGCAGGGTGAGTGGTTAAAGCCGGGCTCCGGCACGCAGCCCGGGCTCATTATCTCAGTAGTCAACTGCGCACAGCTATGGGCCTCGCCTCACAGGTGTGTGGGAGATGAAGTGGGAGGGCTTGGATGCTAAGTGGCACGTAGTAGGTGTCGGCTGTACGCTCTCTTGCCTCTGTCTAAGCCCAGCTCCCAGTCAGCACAAATGCTACTCTTGCCAGAAGCCCCCCGTTTCTTAGATGCCCCCAAATGTAAACGCAAAGCAGATGAGTCTATGAATCCATAAAGAGATACGGAAACATGTTTCCTATTAGTCCCTGAGAAGTTAATACTGATTATGCAAGAGAAACAAAGATTACATTATGAACATATTGACTTCTTACGATGCATTGATTATTTCAGCCAACTTTTAAAAATTAGGTTAAAAAGTTCTTGATTTTTATATACAGTTTGTTATTGCAAGGGAGGTTTCTCTTAATTATTTAAAATTACTAAAATAGATAGTAAATAATTACTGTTCTTCTAGCATTAGTAAAAAATAGTTTCGTTGCTACAGACCTGAGCCACTTTATAGGTGTTTATGCAATGTGGATAAGTGTGCAACAGTGGGTAGAGTTTACACTTCTGAGAAGTAGCCATTGGTGAGACATTTAATGAGAAAAAATGTTCCATTTTCCCAATAAAAAATTTGAAATTCTTCAAAATAATATTTTGAAAATATCTTCCACAGGTATCAGAACTCTAAAAATTAACCAACTGAAAACTTTGTTGTTATTGCTCTTTTGAAGTTATAACTTAAAGCAAACCTTGAAACAAATTTAGTTGATAAAGTTAATTATAGATAGTTATTAGTGTCCATACATTTGAAGCTGGGAAAAGCTACTTGAAGAAATGATCAAGCTAAAGAGAAACTTTATCAAGGGGTTATTTCCAAAATATTTTGAAATATTTTCATAAAGAATATATGGACTTAAATATATGGATGATGACTAGGAGGAAATATATGTGAGTCTTGTAGTCCCAAAAGTGACAATTATTACTAATAATAGAAAAAGCAAAAGTAGCTACATAAACTTGGTTAATCTCGTGTGAACATACCTTAGGACCACAAACGAAAGAGAGAACTATAAGAACACGCATGGTGAAGTACAATCCCAGCCCCGTCACAAGAGCATGGCCAGTTTCCAAACCTTGCACTGGTATTTCTCACCCAGTTGTTCCAAGTATTCCTCGAAGTTCTCACTGGATTCCAGTTTCCAAGTTCCCAAGAAGGGCTCGACCATGATGGAGAGCTTGCTGAGAAGAGGCACCCACAACCAGAAGCCAAGAAACATGGGCAATCCAGTGCTCCCCACATCTTCATTTACAAGGCACCTTCGTCATGTGACTTCTGAAGTGGCCAATGGGGAGCAGCAAGACCAGAGAGTCTGGGCACTGGCGCGGACTCGTTTTATCTACCTCCAAATTAAAGTGCAGAAAATTAACATGTGAGTTGAATTTAGGTCAACAATTATAGCTTCTAGCAAAGAGATTTATACGCCAGGGTCACCCGATATATATATATATATATATATATATATATATATATATATATATATATATATAGCTTGAGAACTGGAAACAATTTTCAATAGCGATCAGCCTTTTGAATGCATGCCTAGTCAACTCTGAAGGAATCTCCTGGCGCTGTCTAAGGAACACCTGGCTGAGGTGTTTTCCCACCTGATATAAGGACATCCTTGCTTGGCTGCACCTGAGGTGTTTTTTGTTTGGACGCTGCCTGAGAACTCTCTTCATTAAAATAGTATCTGCCGCTCCCTTCTTTGAGGGTTGATGAACCGATAGTAGTTAATGTAACTGAAATATCTGCACTTGCTTGGAGTGAGGTGTGGGCTATTATTAATATTATCATTGTTCTTCATCAAGAGTAATTGTGGACTGGATGGAAAAGTAATAATTATCATTGATTAGTGTTCTGTGATTTAAGCTCAGAAAGGGAGGTAGAGCTAATGTTCGGAAAATTCATTTTTTTAGGCTTATGAAGTAAGCTCGGTGTTAAAATATACCACTTGAAATTGTGAGGGAAAGTTTTCCAGAGAAATACAGTGGGTCCTTGACTTACGAGTGTCCCAACTAACGAGTTTTTCGAAATACGAGCCGTCTCTCGGCCGATTTTTTGCTTTGAGTTGCTAGCTAAAATTCGGGTTACAAGCCAGCTTCAGATACCCCACTGCTAGTTGGCGCAGCGAACGTCACAGTAAAAGCCACAATATCAGCCCAGCATCACGTGTCTCACTCATTCACTTTAAGATTTGACATACAAGTAATTTGAGTTACAAGCTCTAGCACGGAACAAATTAAACTCCTGAGTCAAGGCCCCACTGTACAGTATTTGGATACATGCATTCTGAAGACAAAGGAGCAGGTGATTTAAATCTTTATGCAGTGTGTCTGAAAGCATCTTCTGTAACCCAAATAATGGAAGTGGACCTTGTGGGTATCTACACTAATAAAAGACAAACATGCAAATTGACCGTACATTTGCTATGCCTTAAGCCATGCCCACCAGCTGATCAGAGCGACTATATGCAAATTAACCTTACCAAGATGGCGGCTGGCAGCTATGGAGCTGGAGCAAGTAGGAGGCTTGCTTGCCCCAGTGATGGAGGAAGCCAAGCTTCCCGCCTGCCACGGCCGGCTCTGAGCTCCACTCAAGGCTACAAAGTTTCAATTATAGAAGGTAAATAAATCCCAGAATAAGAAGAAAAGGAAAGGCTGGGAGCTTCCATCGCCGGGGGGCTTGGCCAGCCTGAAAATGGCCCTCTGCCCCTCACCCAGGCTGGCCAGGGACCCCAGCGGGACCCTCACCCTGATCCAGGACACCCTTCAGGGCAAACCAGCTGGCCCCTACTCATGCACCAGGCCTCTATCCTATATAATAAAAGGGTAATATGCAAATTGACCCTAACAACAGAATGACTGGGAATGATTGGTCACTATGACACACACTGACCACCAGGGGCAGATGCTCAATGCAGGAGCTGTCCCCTGGTGGTCAGTGCGCTCCCACATGGGGAGCTCTGCTCAGCCACAAGCCAGGCTGATGGCTGCCAGCACAGCGGTGGTGGTGGGAGCCTCTCCCGCCTCCTCAGCAGCACTAAGGATGTCCGACTGCAGCTTAGGTCTGCTCCCTGCTGGTAATAGGACATCCCCCGAGGGCTGCCGGGCTGCCAGAGGGATGTCTGACTGCCAGTTTGGGCCCGATCTCCCAGGGAGCTGGCCTAAGCCAGCAGGTGGACATCCTCTGAGGGGTCCCAGACTGCAAGAGGGCATAGGCCGGGCTGAGGGACCCCCCCCCCCAAGCACACAAATTTTTGTGCACCGGGCCTCTAATATATATATATATATATATATATATATATATATATATATATATATATATATATATATAACAGGGCTATATTCCAAGGCTGTAGATTTATGTCTCAGCTCCAAGCACCAGTTGTTTTGAAGACGGCCGGAAAACTAGAATAATATTCATACTATTTAATTTTTTTTTCCTTTTATTGAACTTATTGGGGTGACACTTTAATACAATTATACAGGTTTCAGGGGCACAATTCTATAACACATCATCTCTTCACTGTATTGTGTGTTCACCACCCAAGCCAAGTCTCAGTCCATGACCATTTATCTCCCCTTACCCTCCTCCACCTGCCCTCATCTCATCTCCCACAGCAATCACCACACTGTCCTCCCTGTCTAGGAGTTTTTCTCCTTTTTTTTTCCCTCAATCCCTCCGCTCTCCCACCTGGCACCCCCAGCCCCACCCCACCAACAGTTGTCAGCCTGGTCTCTATCTATGAGTGTGTCTCTATTTTTGCATACTGTTATCAGCCTTGTTAAATATTCTTCAAAGAAATATTTATTGCCGAAGCCGGTTTGGCTCAGTGGATAGAGCGTCGGCCTGCGGACTGAAAGGTGCCAGGTTCGATTCCGGTCAAGGGCATGTACCTGGGTTGCGGGCACATCCCCAGTGGGAGATGTGCAGGAGGCAGCTGATCGATGTTTCTCTCTCATCGATGTTTCTAACTTTCTATCTCTCTCCCTTCCTCTCTGTGAAAAATCAATAAAATATATTTAAAAAAAAAAAGAAATATTTATTCAAACCATGTCTTTGTGGAAAAAAAATTTTTTTTAAGGTTGATGTTTTGGCACCACAAGTTTATAACGTAAGTAGGCTAAAGAATGTCTTTTGATGAACACATATAAAGAGGAAATTTATAATGCAATGTATTCATAGGTGGAATAGTTACTGAAGTATATGGAGGGAAAAATGGGAAGCAAAACCCTAGCGTCAATTTCAGGAAACTAGGTCACGGGCTCAAGACTAAGTGCCTTCCCAGTTAACACAGTCCTCAGAGGTGAGAACTAATGAGGAGACCTTGCCTAACCTGTCAAGGTGTGCTCGCATCTCTCTGGAAGACACCAGACCTACATGGCCACTCCTGTTTGCCAGTGGGCTAGTGGGACAAGGTCTCCCATTAGTGGAGCCACCCTTTCTCCAATCCCCTTGCCATGGATGGATCCAGCAATCAATGTGGTGGCCCCCTGTAGAACTCGTAAGGCCCATGAGACCAATGGGAAAGTCATTCTATGTGCATGGTCCTCCAGTGGTCGGGAGAGGTTCCTCAAAGGTCCCACAGGGCAGAGAAGTAGCTCACACACCCCTGCCTGAAAAGCCTCATGAGCATTTTTGCCTGTGTTATATGTTGGAATTCTATGCAGATTTTCTTTGAATAAAAAATTCCAGAATATATTTAATATTTTATTTTAATAAAAAGTTCCACAGGTGAGGAGCTTGGAAACCACTGTGAGGACATTGGCATCATTACTCATTACAGGCTGTCGCCTCATTTCCAGAATGAATATTGTGGGATTATTTGCTCTCGCCGGGCCTGCCTGTGTGAAGGGCCCGCCTGTGTGTCGGGCCCTTCATTATGGTCCTTGGCCAGGAGAGGGCATCACAGCCTCCCTCCGCCTCACTCAGCGTCTCAGGATCACGCAGAGTCTGCGGCCTCAACCCAGACACTCATTCTTGAGAGACCCCAGAGATAGCTTGGTTTACCAATAACTTTTCAGGTTAAAAATGGTAGCCTAGAACCTTTTCTCATGACCTGCATTGTGACTCTACTTCTCTCTTTCTTTGCTCCAGGACAGGCAGTGTGAGCGACCGCACCCTAGCCAGCAGTCTTTGAACCAGACTTCCCTGGTTGTGTTGCACTTCACAGATTCTGTGTTTTTTTATGAATGGAAAGTTTGTGGTGACCTTGTGTTGGCCAAATCTATCAACACCATTTTTCCAACATCATTTGCTCATGCCATGTCTCTGGGTCACACTTTGGCAACTCTCACAATATTTCAAACTTTTATTATTATTATTATTTTATTATTCAAACTTCATTATTATTATTCTCTAGAGCAGTGGTTCTCAACCTTCCTAATGCCGCGACCCTTTAATACAGTTCCTCATGTTGTGGTGACCCCCAATTTCATTGTTACAAATTGATCATAATTAAAGCATAGTGATTAATCACAAAAACAATATGTAATTATATATGTGTTTTCCGATGGTCTTAGGCGACCCCTGTGAAAGGATCGTTCGACCCCCAAAGGGGCCGCAACCCACAGGTTGAGAACTGCTGTACTAGAGGTCTTACACAGGTAGGGCTCTTACAAAATTCTTACACAGGTAGGGCCCCTAGGCCTGCCTGGTGATCAGGGCTGATCTGTGGGATGACCAGCGGGGCAACTGGGGGGTCCCCGTTGGCACCCATCTTGGCTGGCCTGGGGCCTGTGGGCTGGGGGCAGCTCCTGTGTTGAGCATCTGCCCCCTGGTGGTCAGTGCGCATCATAGTGACCAGTTGATTTGCATATTAGGCTTTTATTATATAGGATTTCTTAAGACCTGTGATCAGCGATCTCTGATGTTACTAGGACAAGACCCTGCACCAGCAATAAGATGAGGACTTGCTGAAGGCCGAGATCATGGTCAGCATTTTTTAGCACTAAAGAACTTTTTAATTAAGGTATGTGCATTGCTTTAGACATAATGCCATTGCACACTTCATAGTGGAAACATAACTTTTGCTTGCCCTGGGAAACCCAAAATTCCATGTGACTCGCTTTATCTTGAAGGTGGTCTGGAACTGAACCCACAAAATCCCCTAGGAGTGCATGTCATCCTCCCGAACCACGGTTCGACTTTCCAGTTTCAGTTATCCAAGGCCAACTGAGGTAGGAGAATATAAATGGCAAATTCCAGAAATAAGCAACTCATCAATTTTAAGCTGCACGCCGTTCTGAGGAGCGCAGTGACACTCACCCTGTCCTTCTCTGTCCCGCCTGGGATGTGACGCATCCCTTTGTCCAGCATCTCCCCACCTGCTAGTCACTTGGTAGCATCCTGGATGTCAGATCAGGGATCCCAGTATGGTGGTGCTTGCGTTCCAGTAAGACTTAT